CGTGAGGGTTTGCCGCGGGCTATGGGGAACAGCCCTGCCGCCAGCAAGAATGCGTGAAAGGATTAAACGCGCCCGTCCCGGTGCGCTTGGGAGCGCGCAGCAGTGCCGTGTTTCGCAGTACCTTCCCCTGTCCTCGTCTGTCTCGGCCGTATTTGCCTCTTCCCTGCCTTCCCCAAACGGGAGGCAGCCGTTCCTTCCCCAGCTGTTCCAGCAGTTTCACACACCAGCATCAGTACTTGTGCAGCTGTACAGCAAGCCCGTGTAGGGAGCTGATCTGACTGAAAATCCTGGGTGGTTTGGCGTAGCTAACACAATCAGGAGGAAAGTCGTGGTTCCCAACAAACACCCAGGGTCTTTCGCACGTATATGTTAGCGAGGCAACTCAGCATCGCGGTTAAATAAAAACATCTCTCAAGCATGGTGTTGCCTTGTCCTTCAGCTCCTCAAGATTATGTTGTTCAGAGGGAGTGGGAATGAAAAATAAGCGTGTTTATGGTGGCTTTTTCTTAACACACTTTATCAAGGTTGTATTTGACTCGAGAGAGTTTTCTGCCTTGGAATCCCCATGGATTGAGCAGAGCTAGTAGCTTTACTGGTATTTTAAAATTTCCCTGACTGTCCCTGTTCAGATTATAAACGTTTCCCAGACACCTGTTCTCTTTTATAACGGCTTTTCTTGTGAAAGCTGCTCGGTGAGGAAGGAGGAGAGACATCTTTAGTATCCTGCAAAGAGCAGCTTCTGGTCTTACTGGAAGATAAAGCCGTCCTCAGGGAGGGTTCTGGGATTGTAGTTCAGATCCTCCTCAGTGAGAAAAATGCCCTGCAGAGCTTTTCTCTACGAAACAGCTTTTGATGCAACCACAATAGGATTAAAAGCTATATTTTATTTAATGTGGAGTTAATCATTCAGAATCATTCTAGTTTCCTGCAGTCCCACAGGCCTCTAGGAACGTTCACAACTTGCAAACCTGTTTAGCACTGCTGAGTTATTCCTAGATATGTTTTTGTAGGCATTCCCCTACGCTGCCTCTTGTCTCGGCATTTATAAACCTACTTGGGGTCAAGGCTGAGATAGTAAAAATGCCGGGAGGACTTGTTTTGGTTCCCATGGAGTGGCCTTCCTCGTCGCCTTGCTGTGCCTGCCCCTGCAGCCGGTGCCCTTGCCGAGCAGACAAACATTGTCTCCCACCCTGAGAAGCCGAGCAATTAGTTTGTGGGACTGGTGATTCAGCTTGTTAAACCAGATCTTTGTGTCAGGAAATATTAAATGTTTTGGGGGCTGGGGAGGAGGATAGACAGTGCTGTCCGCCGTTTGGGTTGCTGTTTGGAGTACTTAATTCTTACATGGCCTTCGTTAAGCACGGGATTGCAGAACAATTTGTTAAGGTGTGTTAGGATTGTTACTCCCAATGTAGATGAGGAAGTTGAGAGAGAGGGGAGATGAATTTTCCAACTCAACCACCTGAAAATAAACCTAGTCTGGGTTTGCAGCCTGCCGGGCTGTTTTTCACCCCCTGATGCTGGTATATAGCACGTTACTCAATATTATTTGAAGTTCCTTCTCTCGTTTTCAGCTTTGATTTAGGCTATTTGAATTTAGTATCTTGACTGATTGCAAACACCGCAGTGAAAGATGTCTTCCTGTGCCACCACCTCTTCACCTCTTGAATAGTTGCTATAGTTGTGAGGCAGTGGTACAGAGGACTGTATATGTATGTATACATACATATATGTATGTATACATCTCTCTCTCCCTCCCATTTTTATTACAGCCAGAAGAGGAGCCGAAAGAGGAAGCAGCACCAGCCAAGCCTGTGGTAGGAATTATTTACCCTCCGCCGGAGGTCAGGAATATTGTGGACAAGACTGCCAGCTTCGTAGCCAGGTAAACGACACTGGTGGTGTCTCGTGCTTCCTGGGATTTTCATGCTTCTCCTCTTCAAGTGCTAATGTCTGCGCAGCTCCAGAAACTGAAGCAGGTCACAGTCCTATGAATTTACACAAAGGATTTTAAGGATTGAGTCTATACCAGTGAGACTGTGGAAAAGAAACGACATTATTCTACTTAAGAGGTGTAAGACACGCTTTGCTAGAAAAGTTATGGTAGTAAATAAAATGAAGTTCTTGGAAAAATCTATAGCGCATGCTGCAATAACCAGGTGACAGTTCCTGTTCCGAATGATCTGAAGGGGAAACAAAATTCCAGGTAGAAAGGGAGCCTCATGACGGGTGCGCCACTGAGCGATGAAGCCAAGAGGAGTCATGACTGCACTTTACAGTGTGTAGGCAAATGGTGGGTGATGAACTTCCCGGTACAAGGGTGCTCGCTCGCTTGTTGAGCCCTGAGGTTAAGTCCCATCCCTGCTTGCGTACAGCTTGGTAAACCGTGCCAGCGGCTGGGATGCGTGTTTGTCCAAGCCTCAGTCATCTCTCTCTCCCGTGATAGCCAGAGGGAGAGAAGCACGTGCCTCCAGAGTGTAGTCTGATCCTCTCTTAGGATAGATGAGCTGCCCGTGATGTGTTTGGGATTTTTTCCCCTGTTGACTGTAGCAGATCGATTAGTGTGAGTACAGATGTCAAATTTAGGGGAGGAGTCTAAAGGTTGAATAAATTTTACTCATTTGGGCTTCTTTCATTTGCCCAATGTCATCATTCCGCAAGTGCAAGCTGTTAGTGCTAGCTAGGCCATCTTCCTCTATTGTTTTTTAATCCTTAAGTATTTCTGGCTGTCTTACCTCTATGTGAGGTCTCAGGGGACCAGATCTTGGTCTTCCTGGCAGCGTACGAGTAGCACGGGAGGTAAATACCCCTCAGCTGGCTGTGCGAATTCTTGACCTTCATGGCATCCAGACAGGCTGAACGCTGCGTGCTTTCACCTCACTAAACCAGAATGGTTGGTGCTGTGAGTTTAAGACAATTACTAGATGCCGGTCTAGTCGAAGACCCTTCTTGCGTAGCTGATTTCTAAAGTGCTGCCAAAGAGCGTTGGCTTCCTTTGAGGATAAGGAAGGGGCTGTGTTTATCCTTTGGTATTGCAGAGACCTCCTCTTTTGCAAGAGGCGGAGTGTCTAAACAAGACTTGGAGGTATCCAGAGAACATGAAGAGAAACGTGCCATGGCAGCTGCTAACTTTCTCAAACTACCCTGAAATAAGCGGCTTGCACTTCGCATGGGAGGAATGGACGTTACCTGAACTAAAACTTAGGGCTCTCCTAAATGCAACACTCCGGTGTGGTCGATCTCTGTACAGGCTGGTGGTTACCTACTTTTTTCTTTATATGAACTTTCTGGAAATGAAACTAGTCTTAAGAGCTTGTTAATAGAGCAAATAAAATTGGTCTAGTAAGTAACCTGTAAACTTCATCCAATAAACTGTCGATCCAGTAAACGGCCTTCTGTTTGTATGTAGCCAAATGAGATTGTGGAACACTTGTGAGTGTGAGTTTTTAACTGTTTTAAGAAATACTCACTGTGAAGCCTTATAGACTAA